ATATTTCTATTATATAGAAAGGTGAAGAGAGGACGACCAAGGGCATTTTTGTCAACCAAAAAAAAATTTCAAACTTAGTTTAATTGTACGTTGTGCATAAAGTATTAAAATTTCCAGAAAAACCAACTAAAATTTATGTAATTCCCAATGTATCCACCACTAATTCAATACTTGTGGATTCTAATGGCCACACGTGTACCAATACATTGAGAGGAGTAAAAGAAATCATTGCAAAGTTACATGGACCCCACTTATTGATTTACTTCAAAAGCCTGTACAATCAAGCTGATACATTTTTAAAAAAATCTTTTTTATTTTTGAATGTATAATTTTTAATGAGATTTTTTCATACCAAAAATTCAAATTTGAGGGCTTTAAATCATTTCCATTCTTAGTGTGGTTTGGTCATGAAAAAATACTGTTTATTTTATTTAAAAAATTTATAGTTGAAGTCGTGTTTGGTTAAATTTTATGCAAAAAATATCTCGAATTTAAATATACTTTTTTCTAAAGGCATAAAACATAAATATGTCATTTAATTTGGTTTCATCTAACATATATGTCCTTCAATTTTAGATGTTCATAAGTAGACACATAATCTTGTATAAAATTGAACAAGTTGACACTTGTGTTCTACTTGACGTCCTACATGACAATATAATTCACGTCCTATGCGACATTTTATGTGGCTCCTACGTGTGTTATTCCCCGTAGGACGCGTGTTTCTACTTCTTCAACTTTATAAAATTTTAAGTGCTTACTTGTGCACACCCTAAGTTGAATGTCATAGATGTCAGACAAAGTCAAGTTAAAAGATATATTTATATATTAAGTTTTTCTAAATATGGTTTATATTCCTCAGTTTCTAAAAATTACTTGACTAATTTACCTGAGACATACAACCAAATTGCACTAAATAAAATAATATCTCAAAATAGATAGTTGTATAATGTCATAGATTAGATCTCATATAAGAACTACCACATACTATTACAAAAAAAAAAAATCACTTTATTTAAATTTTTTGAAGTTGAACTTGTGTTAAGCTATTGATTTTGCAAATAATATTTGATTATTTGAATGTGTTTTTTAAAAAAATGGGGTCATTTTTATAAGAATAAATAATTTGTGATAAAATTTTAAAAAGGATAATATAGTTAGGGGCCATTTGGTTATTGGTTAGAGTTATGCAAATATTAGTTATGCATGGTTTAATTATGCAGGATTTAGTTATGTGGTATTAGTTATGTTGGTATTAGTTATGCAAATATTAGTTATGTAGGTATTACTTAATTATGTAGAGATTACAACAATGCTTAAACTATTAATTACTTAATATATTATTTACAATTAATAAGCAAGCAAATAGTATAATATCCCCAAAAAAAAATAAAGAAATTTTCTCTATACTTGAGTGGAATTTCTATTTTTTCTCTCTCTAAAAACATAACTCTTTATGTGTTTTGAGATTATTACTCAAAAATCTTTTTCTTAAAAGAGATGGTACTCAAACTACTCAAAACTCTTTTGGAGATCTTAGTTTCCTCTCATCTTAAATGTAAAAACATTTACTCTTGGGAATACTTAGTTCCAATGTATCATTTTAAAGAAAATGAACTCAGTTCTACTCTTCCTCAACTCATATGCTCAAGTCTTAAAACAAATTTTAAAAAAGTTTGCAAAAGACTTCTTAAAATAGGGTTCATGCCGAATTATGGATGTGAATAACTCAATTCAAGGACTCAATGATACCTCTCATCTCAAGACTGTTCGACTTATAGGGTTCATGCGAAATTATGGGCATAAACTTCTCAATTCAAGGACCTTCATGGGTAACATGTAGTAGCCCCATGATTAGGAATATAATCCCTAAATGATTAGGAACTCAATACTCAAGACTTGGAACTTGAAGATACTCCTCCTCTCAAAGATACTCAACTTATGAAGTTCATGTGGAATTTATGGGGATAAACGACTCGACTCGAGGGTCTAAATAACAATACGAAATTCATGTATATGATTCTTCTCATTCTCATACTTATTTCCTCAAAACTTAGCTCAAATCAATAGTTGATCTCAAAGGATTCACAGTTGAACTCAAAGACTTTCTTGAACTCTACTCTTAGCTCTTTCTTGAATGTGAATTTTGAATTATGAATTATGAATTCAAGAGTTATGAAGTTATGATTGATGATAGTGTAGACTCATGAATACATTTTCATCATTCTCATACTCACTTACTCGAGTCTTGAAACAAGTTATTAGAAATTATAGAAGACTCCTCAAAATACTCAAAGGGACTTTCTCAAAAGACTCAAAAAAACTCTCAAGACTTAACTCTTAGCTCTAACTTGAATTTGAATTATGAATTATGAATTATGAATTCAAGGTTATTTTTTGTGGTAGGAAAGATATCGTAATGATTAAATGAGTTTTAGATAGTTAATCATGAGAAATGGTCAAGAAAACACTGTCTGGGAGCAAGTTCGCGACGCAAAAATGCATTTTAATATTTGATTGCGAAATAATATATTTAAGATTGTACTATTGGGCCCGTTAACGGTCCCTTTCATATCTAGTTTTCTTAAGAAACACCTTAGATAATTGTATTTTGGTTGGACTAAAGAAATATTTGGAGCACAAGTTAATTATATGTTTGTATGTAAACTTTACCGAAAAAATCCAAAAATCTGAAAAAATCTGAGGTTTATTAGTTTGGTTTGATTTATAAATTTAAAAATTCGACACAATAGTTTGTTTTGGTATTTGAAAAAACCAAACCAACCGGAGGTTGAAAAACCCGAAAAAATTCGAATTTTATTAGTTTGGTTTGGTTTATAAATTTAAATTTTTTACACAAATGGTAAACGGTTTGATATTTGAGAAACTCAAACCAACTCGGTTATGTACACCCCTATTTCACACCCTTTAAGAAAAGAAGATTGATACATAAATTAGGCAAAATTTTCCATTTTTACCCTTATTAATTATTGTCAAATTTATGATTAAAATAACTAAACATTAATTAATACAACTAATTCCAATACTAACTAATGAAGGATAAAATTGGAAGAACATTCTAAAAGTAGTCTTGAAAATTGAATAATTAAATTAATGTGAAAAATGAAAAATGTCTTAATAATTCAATTAATTTGAAATGGAGTAATTGTTATCCTAAAATTACACTACGTTGATATAAACATAGATTTTACAAAATAGTAAAAAGGTTATAACACAGTATCCTCATTAACATGATTGATTCGATTCTTATAATATTACAACGAAATGACTTAAGCAAATAAGATACGTGATACTTATTGCTTGGTTGATCACCTAATTGACATTGGGATCTTATATCAATATTGGTATCCTCGTAAAATGTAAATAAAGTATTTAAATACATTTAGGATTTAAAAGTCATAAATAATTTCAATGAGTTGAAAATGGCTTACCAAACACATCCTACAGAACACAAGTTTCAAAAAATAAATAAATTGCACTTATAAAAATTTCACTAGTTTAGGAGCTTCAATTAGGTATACACTTGTTAACAATATTACAAATCTTATAAAAAATAATTTGAGTTCAGCTAGGTTCATACTTCATATACATGTATTCTGAGATACATAGATCAAAAGTAGATGTAATTTGTTCTAGATACACTGTCTCCAAGTAGATTTGTATGTATCAAGGGGAAAAAAACTCAGTCGCCTCTCACTTGTTACTCTCTTGTTCTTTCTCGTTTTTTCTATTTAAGTGTATTTGATAGCAAAAAACATGTATCTAAGTATATCTAACTAGGAATTTGATATGAAATTATTAAATAGTGAAACAAAATATATAAAAAAAATTGATATATGTGATAACAATATTTATGTAATTAGATAGTTATCCATAATAAAAAAAAGAAGAAGAAGAAAACACTCGATTAGAAAAAAAGAGAGTAAAGCAGTTAAAAAAAAGAAGAGAGAAAAACACTCTATGACGGATAACATAAAATCTTGAACCTAAATAACGTGAAAAAATAGCAAAGGACTAAAGTAACACTCAAATATAAAGTTTGATTTCAACCCTCACTTTCCTCACTTTCCAAACTTAGAAAACATACGATAGTTACTAAAAAAGGATACGTAACTATGATATTCTTTGATAGAATAATTTATTCCAAACTTAGCTAACATACGATAGTTCCTAAAAGAAGGATATGTAACTATAATATACTTGATAGGATAATTTATAACAAACTTAGATAACATACGGTAGTTCCTAAAAGAAGGATACATAACTATAATATACTTGATAGGATAATTTATTCCAAACTTAGATAACATACGGTAGTTCCTAAAAGAAGGATACATAACTATAATATACTTGATAGGATAATTTATAACAAACTTAGATAACATACGGTAGTTCCTAAAAGAAGGATACATAACTATAATATACTTGATAGGATAATTTATAACAAACTTAGATAACATACGGTAGTTCCTAAAAGAAGGATACATAACTATAATATACTTGATAGGATAATTTATAACAAACTTAGATAACATACGGTAGTTCCTAAAAGAAGGATACATAACTATAATATACTTGATAGGATAATTTATAACAAACTTAGATAACATACGGTAGTTCCTAAAAGAAGGATACATAACTATAATATACTTGATAGGATAATTTATTCCAAACTTAGATAACATACGATAGTCCCTTAAAGAAGGATACGTAACTATAATATACTTGATAGGATAATTTATTCCAAACTTAGATAACATACCATAGTTACTAAAAAAAAAATATTTACGTAACTATAATAAACTTCGATATGATCATTTTCTTTAACATTTCCCAAAATGTTCATAGCCAAGAACAATCACACACAGCTCTTTTTGATAAAACTAGCTATTTCCTTAATCAGATTTTTGGCTTTTTCAGTTTCAGTATCAAAAATCTGAAAGCAATGATCTTCACCTTCAACATCAATCAATTCAATTTCCCCTTTCCATTCACTGTTCTTCACTGCTTCAGCATACTTAATCCCAATATTTCTCAGCTCATCTTTCTCTGCAACACAAACTAAAATCTTTGAACAACCCAATGTTGATAAACTTTGAGCTTTTTCAACAAACGGATTAATGTTTGGATCATCAACTCCGTCTTTAGTTGATGGGTTTACAAACCTCCAAAGCTTACTGGGTAAACTGTCTTCTTTAAAATCAATTGATGTTAAAAAGTATGGAAAACAGAGTAATGAACCCAGGATTTTGATTCCACCATTTAAGCTTTCAGATCCAGATCTGAGAGATAGATTATGAACTATGTTACCTCCGGCACTATCGCCTCCGATTAGTACCTTCTCGAAATCTCCATGGTTAACTAACCAAGGTTCCTTTTCGAACCCGGGTTTTGCTTCAACATGGGATCCGACCCATTGAAGAGCGGCCCAAGAGTCTTCATACGCTACCGGAAATGGGTTTTCCGGGACAAGACGGTATTCAACTGAAACGGCGATGACATTGGATTCGGCGACTATGCGGTTAAGGTAACGGTGGTCGAGGACAGAGAAGGCGGATTCGAGACAGAATGCGCCGCCGTGATAGTAGACTAAGATTGGGAGTTTTTGGTCGGTAATACTGTTTGTGAGTTTTGGGAGGTAAATTCTAGCTTTGAATTCCGGCGAAATGTCTATGTCTTTTGAGGAGACGCCGGTAGCAGGATCTTCCGGCGACGGCGGAACGATCGGTGAACCGAACAACCGCTCAACACGGCCGTTTTTGTAGACACGGATGAAATGAGGAAAATCGACTACCACCTCGTTATCGCCGGAATCCATGGTGTATTAGTGATAAAAAAAAATTGAGGTGCAAATCAGCTACTAAGACTCTTGTCATTTTATAATAAAAATAACTGACCATGGACTACAATGGAAACACGATATAATATTTTTTTTAATAATAAGGTAATATTTCTTATATATTACTCCCTCTGTCCCAATTTATATGATTCATTTTCCTTTTTAGTCAATCTCAAAAATAATGACACATTTCTGTATAAAATAACAATTTAACTATAAAATATCTATTTTACCATTAATGAAATAATTTACAGCCACACAAATTTCTATCATTCATTGTGGACCACAAGTTTTAAAAGTCTTCCTTTCTTTCTTAAACTCCGTGCCGAATCAAAGTACCTCATATAAAATGGGACGGAGGGAGTATTAAATAGTATCCACTCCTCTAATATTAGTTCATCTTACTAAAATTAGTAATCTCATATTAATTATTCGTATTACTAAATTAAAAAATGTTGATGAATTTTTTTTCTATGTTATTTTTATAATTAATTTATGAAAGTGTTCACGTTTGTTCGTAAAAACATTATTTTTTAATAAGCCTACGTAGCTGATGAGGTCATCCTGTGTCTAATATTCTCATCGTCCCTAAAGAGGAAGAGGCCGTCAGTCTTGACTGGTAAATATAGAGAGGAAAATGGCGAAAATAGAGTTGAAATTAGTGATATAATTTATATTTATTTAAAACTAATTTTTTTTTAAAATAATATAATTTGTTTTTTTACAATTGTATTTTCTCCTAATAATGAAATCTAACGAGTAAAGAACAAATAAATAAATAATCAAAACATATTTATTTATGAAGAGTGAATGCCTTCAATTAGATTATTTGCCAAAAGTAACATCATTTCTACAACTTCCTTGATTAGATTTACTTCACATTAATTCTATATTTTTTCCTAAGTAAAAGCTTCAATTTTTCAATATGCGATGATCAAACTCAAAACGTTTATTAGTCAACTAATACCCGTATTTTGCTTCCCACGAGAAAAATTATCTAAATATACAATTTATTTTACGATATTCTCTAAAATTTTCTATCATTTGAAAAACTTACGGAAATTCCTATTCTCTTCCGTTCTCAGATACATCACTCTTACACGATATATAGGAACACGATGTATCGCGATCAGTGTGTCTTATATCAACATATGTAATATATCGGGATGTGATGTATCATGACGTTGAGTATTTATTGAGATAAATGTTTCTTGTATCAACAAAGGTAATCTATCGGGACGTTGAGTAATGTATACGAAATTGAAACTTGATGTATCAGGGCGTTGAGTGATGTATTTGAAATCCTTCAATTTTAAGAGACTTTTATAATTTGAAAAAGATTAGGGATATGATATAATTAGCTCTTTACATTGTGAAATTTACGTAAAATATACAAAAATTAATGCATCATTTCTTTTTCGAGTCGATATGTCAAGCTTTGTAGTGTATAATACCTAAAGAAGATCTACATGGATACTTATCCAAACGTTTGCCAAATATTTATCGATTATAAGTTTCAGAAGTAAATACTAATTTTATAAAAATTTCCGCATGCTCTGATTTATCTTATTGAAAATTGAGTTTTATTTTGCAATAAACATTCATCAGTAACAACAAAAAAAAGTTACAAATCCAACTCACGAGCGTAGCAAATTTTGTTTGTCACAACTCACAACCCCTTGAGGTATTGTTTTCCTGAAATTCTGCATTAGGACACTTTATCTATCGAACTGTCTTTTACTAGCGATTGATGAAAGCAGCATAACACTTCATCATACGTTTAGCTTCTTCAGATTCAGGTTTATACATCTGAAACGAATGCCCTTCATCAATCTCAACAAACTCCAATTCTCCATTCCATCCACTCTTCTTCACTTCTTCAACAAATCGACCCCCAATTTCTATAGTAATTACATAATCTTTTTTCCCCATACACAACAAAAGTCTCGAACAACCCAATCCCGATAACGATGGAGCCTTTTCACAAAGCGGGTTAATCAATGGACTATCAATTGGGGATAATAATCCAGATTCCAATGTCGGACAAATATTAACCCAAATCTTATAAGCTAAACCTTCTTCATCAATATCGACACCTCGAATTAAAAAATATGGGCACGCACAAATCGATCCAGTAATTTTCACCTCATTATTATTCAATGTTTCTTTGCCGGCCCTCATAGTCATATGGTAAACTATATTGCCACCGGCACTGTCTCCAACTAAAAACACTTTACTAAAATCACAAAAATTCGTTAACCACGAATCTTTATTATTATTATTATTACTAGACGAATTTTCATCGGCATGCGATGCAACCCATTGAAGTGCATTCCAACAATCTTCGTAAATCACGGGCACATCGACTTCAGGGGCTAAACGGTAATCTACCGAAACAGCAACGACATTTAATTCGGAAGCTAAAGAATTGACATACCGGTGAGTCCATGTAAAAAAAGCGGATTCAATGCAAAGTCCGCCGCCGTGGTAATATACTAAGACGGGGAGTTTTTGGCCGGCGGTGGTGTTTTCCGGGAGGTAGAGTCTGGCAGAGACGTTTGGTGAGATGGTGACGTCTTTGGAGAAAGCTCCGGCAGATGGATTTTCCGGCGACGGTGGAACGTAGAACGAACCGTGTACGTCGTAGAAACGCTCAACGCGGCCGCTTTTGTATAACCGGAAGTAGTCGTCGACTTCTTTGACTACTACATTGTCGTCAAAAGCCATTGTAGTGGAGAAACTTTGTTAGGGAGAACTATCTAGTGTGAGAGTAATTCATCGAGCTGAATGCTTGGTTGAGTATTTTATTGCATCGCGCCAAAGTAATACTCTCTCCGTGTTTAAGATAGGAAGGAAAACTTTTAAAATTTGTGATTTCAAATGAATGATAGAAATTTGTGTGGTTATAAATCATTTCATTAAGCATAAAATTGAATTTTAAAGTTAAATATTTATTTAATATAGAAATGTATTATTCTTTTTTAAATCGACTAAAAAAAATTAAGTCATAAGACAGAGAATATTAGATTAAAGGTTAATTCTGGGTACAAAACTACAAATAGAAAATTGACAAAAAAGTTAAGTTGAGTATGGTGACTAATTGTTTGGTAGCAAAGCGACCGTTTTGAAATTCGTATTATGGATTATAGAATGATAGATAAATTATTTCATAAGACAAATATATAACGTCATGCATGACTATTATTAATGGTGAATTATTAATCTTGTGAGGATAATGTCCTCATCAATATCTAACAATCTCAACCACCTTTATTATATTCGATATCTGTCGTATCATGTTTATTCATAAATATCAATGAGTAATACCGTGCCGTGAGGATAATGTGTATATTCAAAATATGTTCATATAATCACCTTTCTTTATTAATTCATGGAACTCTAACAGAAAACTTCAGTATAAATTACGTTGCATTGAACTAATTACCAAAGCACTGAGTTATTTTTTTTTAAAAAAATAATACTACCATCCTATTTGTCATAGTTAATTTTTAACAGTAATGAGAAACCAACATGACACAACTATAAATAATTAGAGCTAGCTAGTATGGACAAAGACTCAATGTAAATAATTAAAAAATTGAGCATGATTGCTCATTTGTTTGATGGCAAAATATTTTAAATATAGTACTGTACTATCCTTTTTATATTTTGAATAAGGATAATGTGATCCAGTTAAGTAGTATTTTATACAACATGATTCAATAATTGAACCATTTAAAGATATTCGTCAAATCAAGTTAGATACGTAGTTGATTTGTCGTTTTGTTTGTCGATCCTCACTACCTTTATCGATCAAATAAATGATTCAAAATAATATATCGATAAAGCCAAATATTTCATTAATATAAGAGTCAAATACTTTAACGTGTAGTGACACGAAATTTAAATATAGAAACTTTCACATATAGCCATTAAAAAATAGCCTAATTACTCTTCATAGGTATAGTTTGATAATTACAATTCATAGCTACATGCATGTCATAGGTAGGAGAGAGGCAAGCGAGACTGGGAGAGAGAGGCGAGAGAGAGAGAGGTGAATTGTATATGTATATCGGTTAGATAATTGTATATTATACATATGTGTTTGTATATTTGGCAAGCGAGATTGGGAGAGGGAGGAGAGAGGCGAGCGAGAGAGGGCAGAGAGTGGGAGAGAGGTGAATTGTATATGTATATCGGTTAGATAATTGTATATTATACATATGTATTTGTATATTTTGGAGAATTATGCATATACAAACGTGACTAATTATACAAACTCGAAGTCAGGCCACGTAATTAATGTATAATGTTATTCGCGAGTGGTAATTATAGCAAACTATAACTATGATGAGTAATTAAGTAGTATAAATTTACTTAACCGCGTAATTTTCCCATTTAAGTATTATAAGACAAACAAGGTTAACGGAGGAAACAATTAGTAAATGCTCTAAATAGAAACTAATACTATAATTTAAGAGAATTTCGAAGCAACAATAAGGATTATTAATTATTCGTACTCCGAGCTATAGCTCTAAGCCTCTTGACAAAATATGCTATCACTTATGTTGAATGAAAGAAGCAAAACGTTTAATCAAATCTCGAGATTTCTCAATTTCAAAATCAGCCAACTGAAAGCAATGACCTACATCTTCAATTTCAATGAACTCCAAATAAATTCTTCATTCCCTGAACGAATCGAATCCCAATTTCTCTTGGAATATACTCATCTTTCTCTGCGATACACATCAACAATTTTGAACAACCTAGCCCAGACACACAAGGAGTTTTCTCGCAAATGGATTAATCATCGAGCTATTAATATCAGCTTCTGATATAGGTGCAATAGCCTTCCAAATCTTATACGATACCACTTGTTCAATATTCTCAATTGGCATCAACAAGTAAGGAAAAGCAAGAATCGAACCATAAATATTGACATTTTCATTAATACCACCTTCTATTCCCGCTCTCATAGCCATATTGTAAACTATATTACCACCATCACTGTCTCCAACTATAAACAATTTATCAAAATCACCATAGTTTGTTAACCATAGGTCTTTGTTGATCGATTTTTCATCATCATCAACATGTGACGCGATCCATTGAAGTGCAGTCCAACAATCTTCATAAATCATTGGCACGTCATGTTCAGGGGCTAGCCTGTACTCTATCGAAATTGCAATTGTGTTTGACTCTGAAGCTAATATGTTGAGGTAACGACACGACAAATCCACCACCATGGTAATACACTAAGATGGGAAGTTTTTGAGTAATATTGGTGGTGTTTTTAGGAAGGTAGAGTCTAGCAGAAACATATGGTGAAATTGTGACATCTTTAGAGGAGACACTAGTTTTTGGATCATCAAGTGATGGGGGTACGAAGGAAAAGCCTATGCTAGCACTTATATCATCAAAATGTTCAACTTGACCGTCTTTATAGATTCGAAAGAATGGATAAACATCAGCCACTAAATCATTCATGTTGTTGTCATGTGATGAAGCCATATATGTATGGAGAAATTATGTAGACTTTTAAAATATGGAATTAATTTGAAGAAATGAAGTATTACAAGGTGGATGGTTAAGTAAGAAGTTGATTTGGATGTAGAAATTGGAATCATACTGCATGTTTATTTATTGTCTTGTTTTATTTGTTTAAGTGATGGTTAAAGAACCGGTTGAACCAATAATCAAGATTCGTTTAAGCACAACTTTAACCGTCCAAGACTAATGATTATAAATAAGAAAGAAACAATAGTATTTTATTTATAAATAGTGCGAGTACAATTTGTTCATCCCTTAGTTCTTTTGTTTGAATTTCTCTGTGATTCATATTTCTCGACCGTAGGAGGCTAAATCTTGATCTTTTTTTTAAATATTTCATAAATTTATGGAATTTTTTTGAGATGTTTCTTAAGGGAATATAATATCTTATATATAGACATAAACTAAGGTTTAAGATAGAATGACCTTCAAAAATCTTAACTGAAATTGAATACGTCTGATAAAGTCCCACATATTATTATTTGAGAAAGTTACTTTATTCTTTTGAAAAAAATTAGAATCAACAAAAAGAGTGTCTGAAGGAGCAGACGAAAAGTCCAATGATACTAAAAATGCTAGTTTCTAGAAGCCATGATGCATACCCCAATACAAGTCTATGTTTGTTAGCTACTGACCACGAGAGGTTTTTTATAGGGAAAAGGGCCTGATATACCCCTCAACTTTGTCATTTGAAGCTGATATGCACCTCGTTATGAAAGTGGCTCATATATACCCTTACCGTTATACAAACGGCTCACATATACCCCTACCGTTACAAATGAGCTCACATATACCCTTCACTTAACGGAAGTGAAAAAATTAGTTTTAAATTTATATTTTTTACTTTTAATTTTCTTAAAAATTATTTAGGGGTATATATGATTCTTCTAGCAAAGTTCAAAGTATATTTTAATCTTTTTCATACATAAATTATTTTTTGACTTCTTTGATTATAATTATTTGAGTTTCTTATTTTATTTTATTTTTTTCTTTCATTCCTTAGTGTAAACAAAAAAATTTAAAATTATTTTTTTGTGGCTATATTATAATTTAAAACTTTTTTTTTGTCTATATTGTAATTTAATTTTTGTATTTGAAGAAAGAAATTTGGTCATCTATAATAAGTTTTACAAGAATATTAGTGAAACATAAATAAATTTAACCATCAAAATAATAAATCTAAATTAGTCATTGAAACAAAAAAAAAAGTAAAAAAATTATGTTTGAGGAGGATTAAATATACTCATATGGGATTATATATTTTTAAAAATAAAAAATAAAAAATAAAACTAAAATTAATTTTTTTCATATCCGTTAGAGGAAAAGGGTATATGTGAGCCATTTGTATATAAGTAGGGGTATATATGAGCCACTTTCATAACGAGGGGTATATCAGCTCTAAATGACAAAGTTGAGGGGTATATCAGACCCTTTTCCCTTTTTTATATTATTCATCTTTTAAGCCATTTGAGCAAGTTGCTATTCCAACATTCTTTACTCATTTCAGCTGAAGAAGAGTCACCAGAATAACAAAATATGTATCACAAAAATGAAATAAGACAAAATAACCATAGGTGTGCAAATGAAGATGTATAATTGAATTTCTACACCTATACATGTACTAACACCTAAGTATACATATATGTATGTACAGAAATATTTTCGGAAAAATTACTTAACTGATTATTTTTTAATAAATAATTACTTAATATAACATTATCATTTTTCTTAATATAACAACAAGTTCCTATTATTTTCTGGTGATTTGGGATTGAATTATTTAGTGGGCTAAACTTAATGAACTCTCTTTACTTTCTTCTGGTGATTTGTCTTTTCTGTCAAAAGTCTTTTTTAAATTTATTTTTTTTAACTTTGACGTTACTCATAGCTTAACTATCATTTTCGTGGCAACATCACTATTTAAAAGTGAAAGATTTTTTTAACAATATTTTTCTCAAATAATTTTTAAGAATTATTAACTATATACTCCCTCCGTCCCATTTTATGTGACACCATTTTCTTTTTGGTCAGTTCCAAAAAGAATGTCACATTTACTAATATGGTAAGTATTTAAAGTTACAATTCTTTTTTTACCCTTGTTGGTTCCACTTAATTTTAAAATAATACTCCAATACATTTATGAAGAGAGAGAAAAACGAGTCTTCTTTTTAAAGACAATTTGATAAACATTTCAAAGTCTTCATTTATTTTTTAAACTCCGTGCCCGGTCAAATGTTGCCACATAAAATGGGACGGAGGG